CTCATGTGGCTCGAGAGCTGCAGTTTGCCAACCACTGTGCCTACTAGAACCATTAAGGCCCGTGGTTAGAGGGCATTTTCCTTTCTTTGGAAGCTCTTCAGGATCAGACTCCTACAACTTCCTTCAGCAGCTCTTTACAGTGACATATTCCATCACTGATAAATATTTATAAAGCACCTCGTGTGTGACAGACCCCATGGTAACATCTGGGGATACAAAGATCAATACAATATGGTTTACTTTCTCAAAGATCTTAGAGTCTCATAGAAGGGGATAAGGGTGATTGGGGGAAGGCGGGGCAGATATGTATTCATGAATATGCACTAAGATATGTCAAGTACACCTAGGGTCCCAGATGTGGGGAGGGAGAAAGGAGAAAGCCCCCTGACTTCCAGGAGGGTAGTAAGGAGAGTCATCATAAATGTCTGATTATTGAAAGAAAAAGAAAAGTAGGTATTGTGTAAAGAACGGGGTTCTAGCACTCCAAGGAGCAGAAACGAAGGCACAGAGGCGTGAACCTGGGGTGGGGGGCAAGGGGAGGAGCTTGCACCTGGAAAGAGGTAACCCCGCAGTTTTGTTTGTGGACGGCCTCAGATGCCATTTTGGAAAACACAGGCTTTGGCTGCATCCTGTACTACAGGAGAAGAAAACACCTGTAAAGGAGATTATTGGTCAATGGAAACAGTTGGAATATGATGGTAGATTAAAATACCGTAACTGTATTACATTTACTGAAGTCCCCTGTGGTCCTGTAAGACCATATTCTTATTCTGAAAGAATATACCCTGAAAGATTTATAAGTAAAGGTCCATGATGTATGCAGTTTATTCTCAAGTGGGTAGAACAAAAATTGTGTGCGAGTGTGCGAGTGTGTGTGTGTGTGTGTGTATGTGTGGAGAGAGAGAGAGAGAGTAGAGAGAGAGAGAGAGAGAGAGAGAGAGAGAGAGTGCATAAGCACACAAATGGGGTAAAATGTTAACAACAGGTAAATCTGGGTAAAGGCAAATGGATATTCTTTGTACTATTCTTATAACTGTATGTTTGAAATCATTGTAGATTAAACATTGAAAAAATTATCCTCAAAGCGTACAGGAATGGGTATCTTTAAAAACACACACATACATATCTTAAACATTTTATTTAATCCTAAAACATACAAATGTGGATTTACTTATTCAACCTCATATTAAGCTGCTCATAAGACAGAACACTATCATACACTGTGGCTTATCCACTTCATGATTGAAGCTGAGTCTGTCTGGGATTCAAGCTGTGTCTCAACAAAACACAGAAAGAACATTTGGGCCACAACATAAGCAATTTTGGACTCTGTTTATTTCCCCCTCTTTTTCATCTTTTCCTATTTATCTCCATCTGTTTTTGATATGACAACATTATTTCTGTATCATTCAGTATTTCATTCCCCAACAAATCAAAATGCCCAAATCATTGTTACATGTTATCTTGCTTTAAAAAAAAAAATCACTTGAACCTTGATTTGTTAAAAATCAGCTAACTACTAAAATTATATGTTTCAGCCCTAGCCGGTTTGACTCAGTGGAGAAAGCGTTGGCCTACGGACTAAAGGGTCCTGGGTTCGATTCCATTCTGGTCAAGGGTGGGCTCGATCCCCAGTGTGGGGCATGCAGGAGGCAGCCGATCAATGATTCTCTCTCATCATTGATGTTTCTCTCTCTCCCTTTCCCTTCCTCTTTGAAATAAATAAAAATATATTTAAAAATAAATAAATAAATAAATTATATGCTTCATTAAAAAAAAAAGTAGATGCTGACCTAGAAACAATGAGAAGTCAATTAAGGGTTGTTTGTTTTTTTAACTAGAGAATAGCATGGTCAGATTTGCATTTTTTAATCCAATTAGTTAGAATATTTTTCTTCATAGCCAACCATAGCTTGCCTATTGTACTTTAAGCTAATTTCTTCATGCTTATTTTTTGTGGATATAAAGAATACATGAAATCAGTAATCAAATGTGAGTCCCTTGGCCTTTTCTTGCTTTAATTACACAACCTTTCCTCACAGGACCTGTTTCCACTACTTTAATTACCTTTGGTGTTCATCTCTGAATCCTCACACACTTCTCCATCTCCTTGATGAACTGTGGTGACCAAAACTTAACGACTAGCTAACTTCCAGAAGCATGTGGGCTCTTCCCCACCTTTTTTTTTTGCAATGGCATTACACTAATGAATCACATCTATTAACTATTAATCATAGATGCCTTTCTTTGATAATTAATGTCCTACTACTTCCTCATTCATTTAAACTGTATAATTGGGACAATGCTTTCCCTAGAGCAGGGGTAGTGAACCTTTTTCTGCCAAAGGCCATTTGGATATTTAAAACATCATTCGTGGGCCATACAAAATTATCAACTTAAAAATAAGCCTGCTAGCCTGGCTGGTGTGGCTCAGCGGTTGACCAAGAGGTCACAGGTTCAATTCCTAATGGGCTCAATCCCCAGTAGGGGGCGTGTAGGAGGCAGCCAATTGATGATGTTTCTCTCTCTCTATCCCTTTCCCCTTCCTCTCTATCATATTTTTAAAAATATATATCTTTATCGATTTCAGAGAGAGGAAGGGAAGGATAGAAACATCAATGATGAGAGAGAATCATTGATCAGCTGCCTCCTGCAAGCCCCCCACTGGGGATCGAGCCTGCAACCCAGGCATGTGCCTCTGACTGGAATCGAACCTGGGACCCTTCAGTCCGCAAGCCAACGCTCTCTCCACTGAGCCAAACCAGCTAGGGCTCCATCTTTTCTTCTTCTTCTTCTTCTTTTTTTTTTTTAAGATAGAGCTGAGATTTTTTTTTAAAAAAATTAGTCTGCTATATTTAGTCAAATATTTAATTAATTCACCCCTAATGCCTTGTCAGGGGCAGACCAAATGATTTCATGAGCCTCATACGACCCATGGGTTGGACATTCTCCACCCCTGCCCTAGATGATCACTGAGAAAGCTATTTGTGAAAGCATTAAGAACTTTACTGAAATCGAGATAAAGTGGGTCATTCATTCAACACAAAGTCACCCTAACAATTCTTTCTTGTTACAGTTTTTCATATTATCATAGAACAAAACTCAATTACTCTGGCAAGATGTAACTCTCACCAAGGCATGGTAGCTGCTTTTTCATCTTGTTACTTCTGGTAATTGAGTAATGACCTTATAATGGATCAGACTAGTGTCTCTCCAGGCTGAGATGCTAAGCATTATGCAAGGCTTCGGGGGCACATTGTGGATAAGATAAGGGCCCTTCCTTACATAACTCACAATTGACATGTACATGAAAAATGTAGAAAGTGCTATGAGGACATGGTAGAGAGGACCACCAACTCTTGGTAGAAGGAGGTCTGGCAACCCTTCAGAGAAGTGGAAGGGCTGAGGTACTGAAGAATAATCAAGTTTCATTATATACAAGAGGGAAAGAAAGGAATTAAAAGTAAAGGAGACTTGGGAAGCTATGTTAATTGTTTCAAGTGTCCAAAGGGGTATCAGAGAGAAGGATGTAGGGCTCCAGAGAAGAGAATCATGACCACTGTCTGAGCTTTCTAATCTCTACTCCAGTGAATTATTTCCTATCCTAAAAACAAAATAAAAATGAAGTGGTATTATTCAAATTAGCATTAGACCAAGAAGTATAATCAATTCTGAGCATGTCCCAGCAGTAAGTGGTTAAATACATTTGAGATCAGTGGTGTTCAGTTATTCATCATTTTTATGGTGGCCTGAATGTGATGACTCATGTCATGATCTGAAAGTGAAGAACAAGACTCACTGCTGCTCCCGGAAAACAAGAGTGATGGACAATGCACCGGAAAAAAAGGAGACAGGGGTGGGGCCATTGCTGATCTACCCAATAGCAATGCTCCTCTCCTTGCTCAGTTTATAGAACCCTGATATTGTTTAGGATTCAATCTAATGAGGGCCGGTAACTACCTACTATAGTCCTGATGCATGAACTCTGATCAGTCTAAGCCAAGCAAAGCAATTAGGAGTGAGGCTATGGCTCAGACTTAAGAGATGGAAAGGAAAGTGAACTGATGATTGAAGAGAAAAGCCTCTGAGAAGGAATCTATCTACTCCCTGATAAAGACAGTTGACAAAAACAATGCCCTGTGTTTCTGCCTTAAACATGATTATATAAAACTGTGATATTTAGGGCACAGACAAAATTCTATAGAGATAGATCAATAGATCAATCATCTGTAGTTAGCATGCTTTGAAAACTGAAAGAGGTTAGCATAGTTGGAGACAAATTAGAAGAAGTAATTCTCTATTAGCCCAAGGTTCAATTTTTCCATCCACCATTATCTGCTTCTATTTTGGAAGAACATACAACTACAAATCTATTATGGTGCAACAAGAAGAAGTGTCCAAAAGTGGCCCTGGGTACCAGGGTTGCCTGGACAACTAGCCAGCTGGGAAGGGGACTCTTTTATCCAGAGTTTATTAAAGCCCAGCTTCTCTTGGGTCTTGAAGGTCCCTACATGCTAGGTGGATGGCTTTACCAGACAACTACTCTCTAAAGCTGACACCTAATCCCAGACTCTGAAAATCATCTGATTATGCCAACACTGCCTATTCAACAGAGCACCATAGTCCAGCACGGCTCTTCACGAAGATGGTGATGAACTGGGACATCCATGCCGCTCTTCCTTGTTTTCTTGATTTGAAAGTTTCCTCCCAAAGAACCTATTCCTATTATCAATGACATACATTCGTGCTGTATGTCATTGATAATTATAACTTACCACAGATGACAACAGAGCTTAAGTTAAAGGAAATCTGAGAACCTCCCAAAGACTTTCATACAATCATCTGAAGGCAGCAGTGGTTTTTACTTATTCAAAAGAATGTTTTAAGAATGAAATCAGGAGTATAAACTGTGCCCGGGAGATTCGTTTTCTTGTTCTTGTCCACTGAGACACCCTCTGTGGGAAAGTCAGTGGGTTGCTCTCATCTTCTCGTGTCTGAACATGGTGCGGACTAGAGCAGACAGTTTCCTGGGCACCTACAGAAAAGTGGTGGCTGCCCGAGCCCCCAGCAAAGTGCTTGGTTCCTCCACCTCTGCCACTAACTTCACTTCACCTTCCTGGAGGAAAGCTGAAAATAAGTATGCAAGAGGAAATCCAGTTTGTGTGCGCCCAACTCCCAAAAGGCAAAAAGGAATTGGAGAATTCTTCAGACTGTCCCCTAAAGATTCTGATAAAGAGAATCGGATTCCTGAAGAGGGAGGAAGCAGTGGTTTAGGAAAAGGAAAGAGAAAAGCACATTCTTTGCCATTTGATGACACAGATGATGAAAAAAAAATAGAACTTTCTTATTCATCCTTGACTAATGTCTCCTGTTTACTCTGGTATCCTAGGATGTAAATTTGCATAAATGTATTTGTTCCAGTTAGCTTTGTTGAATAGGCATTTAATTAAAAATGAGGGTTACATTTAGTTAAGCAAAAGTAACTAGTTATGATATTGGAATATTTATGAGATAAATATGGTTACTTACCTTAGCATTCAATATAATGCAGTTGTTTGGTTTCTTTTACCTGCTATTAAGCTTCTTGTTCTCGTTAAAAAGAAATCATTGCATGTTGTATACAACAAATCTGCTGTATTTGAGATTTGCTTAGATTTTTGTACTGCTGCCATTTTTATTGGCATTAGATTTTTTGGGATGGTGTCATATTTTTGTTCCTTTTATTTGATTTAAAAAGCAGAGTTGGATTTCCATGCATTAAAAAAAATTAGTATTAATTAAACCACACCTATATTCTTTTTAAGAATGGGGGCCAATGTTGAAAAATTTTGATGGCTGTCTTCTCCTTAGAAAAATGTAAGGGTAATTTGATCCTGAGGGTTTCAAGTAGGAAGATTTCATAGACTACATTAAAAGAGAAGAAATTTCTTACACTACGCATTCGATTTGGTATCATAAAATAGTACCCTCTGGAAATCAATAAAACATGAAAGGCAAATCATGCCATAAAACTAGAGCTATGTCTAAAGTTCTTAGAGCTACCTTTATATTTTTCAAGATAACAGGGGTATAAACGACGAGGTGGGTATAATATTACTTAGTAACAGTAATTCTTGCTTCCTCATCACATTTTTTATTTTTACTCACTGACAGCTGTTGTCAAAATTAACCATGTTTTAACAAATATGTTTTTCTGAAGTTTGTTTTTAATAAGTAAATACTTATTTTCACAATTAAAAAAAAAAGAATGAAATCAGAAGTCTACACTTTCCCAATAAGCAACGGAATTCCTTTTTGAAGTATAGAGACTATTTCTCTACAATTATGCACAGTGAGCAAGCCTTCACAACTGTGGCTGAAATCTCTGAATACGACATTGGCATATGGAGATTCACACTGTGTGAACCGGGAGCTTGCAAACTGGCCGTCTGAGGCCTGGATTCAAAGCTAGGTTCTGAATCTGTATTTGAAACCAGGAACTTCCACATAAAAATCCAGATTGGGGGCTTCTTTAGAAAAACCGAAGGGCTGACAACATGGGATCCTTAGCCTTGTGTGGTAACAAAAAGCTAGAAAAGGGTAGTCACCACCTCCTTAGACTGAGCATGGACTCTTCAGCTCATCACAGTCCCCATCCTTCCTGCTGTCCCTAAAATGGTTTCTATATCAGTTCCTCAATTTTTTTTTTAGTAACCATGTATTTTTGTACCTTCACAACCACTTGTTTTATTGAAAGAAAAACATCTCTGTTCCTATGCTGCTATTAAAAGTGACAAACTAAAAGGCAACCTGAAAAAACCTCCTGTTTAAAGAAAAATTGTCCTTTATTTAAAAGAGAAGAGCAATTTCTTACTGCCTAACAAGCACATAGCTAGCTTCCTGTGTTTTTACATTTCCTCCTCTGCCCCCACAGCATTTGAATTCACAGCTCCTGGTATAGACAGTCAACACTGCCTGAGAAGTGAGTGGAATGTAGCAGCTCATCCACTGACTTGGGAATTAGCTGACATGCTAAGGGGCAGACCTTCTACATACCTCTCTGACTCCATAGAATAACATAGATAAATCTCTCACTATAACTAATCCACACTTACCTTCCTAATATCCTCTATAATAAAAGGCTAATATGCAAATTGACCAAACGGCAGAATGACCAGTCACTATGATGTGCACTGACGACCAGGGGGCAGACGTTCAACTCAGGAGCGGGGAGTGGGCCTCAGCCGGCAGGCGTACATCCCCCAAGGGGTCCTGGACTGTGAGAGGGCGCAGGCCAGGCTAAGGGACCCCCCCCCCGCCCCACTGCACAAATGTGCACCGGGCCTCTAGTATCAAATAAACCCAAAAGGTACTACTACTAATTTTAGTACTTACTATATGTACAGTACTATTGTAGTGCTTCTATATATTAATCTGTTTAATCCTTACAACTGTGCCAGGTAGGTACTATTATTGTTATTATCCATATTTTACAGATAAGGACACGGAGGCATAAGCAACTTGCCCCTAGTACTACTAACATCATCCCCGCATTTTATAGATAAGGACATTGAGACACAAATTACTTATCCAAAGTTATACAACTAATAAATGGAGGGATTGATATAGGAACCCAGGCTGACTGCACCAAACTCAAGGGAAAGGTTGCAAAAGATCCAAAGGTCATAAAATCTTTTGATGATCTGAGAATAAGAGGAATTAGAGGAAGTACTTTGTAGCTCAAAATCCAAATATGGAAACCAGTGATGTGGCCATGCTAGTTGGCCTCATTCTGCAAACAAACATCAGTGAACCCAGCGGGGACCTGGCCAGCAGCAGCAGCAGCAGCAGCAGTGGAGACAAAGTGATTGCAGACAAAGAGGGGCTGGTCCCAGTTTCCAGTTGGCACAGATCTCCTCTGACTCGGAGTGTCTCCTGGTCCTCAGGTTTACTTTCTGTGAAATTAGGGCACTGGACTTGATGCAGTTAAATGGTTTGCTCAAATGCTCTGTGATTCTGTGACTAGTTCACAATCAAGCCAGCATTTGTCTAAGAAAAAAAAAATGGATCACTGGCCCTGGCTGGGTAGTTGGTTGGTTGGAGTGTCATCTGGAAACACCAAGGTTGCAGGTTTTCTCCCCAATCAGGGCACATGAAAGGGTCAGCCAATTAATGCACAGATGAGTAGAACAACAGGTCAATGTTTCTCTCTTTCTCAAATCACTATGGGGGGAGGAGGGGGAGGGAGGGGAAGAATCAGTTTCCACTTTTCCCATCACATGCACAAAAGCTAGCAAAGAGAAGAGAGTGCCCCTGTATGCTATATGACATTTCTCCTTCAGAGAGGGACAAGTACCTCTTGCCTCCGCTGGGCCCCAAAGTTCAGAATCTGCAACAATCACCTCTTTGAAGCCTCCTGCCCCAACCTACACAGACACAGCTGATGGCTTTCTCAAGGCCCTGTCCCATCTCAAAGTCCCCACACCTTCCCAGTGGTCAGTGACAGGCAGGCCCGCCCTCTGCATCAGCCAGGGCACTCACCACGCTTCCTTGGCCTCTGCATTCTCACACCTCACACTCCACTTGCACACAGCAGTTACTCAGAGATTGTGTGAATGGTCAAAATCTGGATGTTAGTCTTTGCTATCCATTTTCTGTACCACCCCCAATGAGTATCTCAAAACTCTCAGTACTTCTATTTCTTCACGTGCAGAGTCACAATGAAATGGTTTGACCTGACCACAAACCTTCAGAATTCTGAAATGGGAAAATAGTAAACACTACAGAAAAGCTAAGACAGGCAGGCGGCCTGGGCCTTCCCACCACAATGCCGGAAGCACTGAGTCTCAGGGACTCTCAGAAAGGCCCTCTCCACATGGTCAGATCAGGTCTTTGGCCTTTGGGGTAAGGCTGTACCCAGCTAACAAAGAAATACAAGTTGGTTTCACTTTCAAAGAGTTCTAGCCAAACTCTGAAATATAGTGATGGTTTTCCTGGCTGGGTGACATCGGGGGAAATCTTCCTGTGACGGAACAGCCCCAATTCCCTCCCCTCGGCTGCAGTCCTCAGTGGAGGCAAAGAGCATCTGCTCATGGCCAGCAGCTCGCATGGATGCCCTGCTCATTCACAGCCTGGACACCAGACACTGGGCACAGGGAAGCGGTAGTCGTTCTTTATTTTGGAATCCTGGTAGTCCCTGAACGAATGCCACAATTACTCATTTGTTAAGATCGAAGACAGAAAAGTGCATGCCAACATGGGCTTCTCGAGAGCTGTGGTTTACCAGCCCACTGACCCCACTCAGACCCTATGAGGGTCTTGATTGTTTAACACGGAATAGATTCCATTGCTTTCATCTGCCCTCCTAGGAAAACTGGATTATGTGCAAAGTCATTCAGTGGCCCTTCTCCTGGCACTGTAGCCAGCATGTAATTAATTACACTTTGGATTCTAGGTTCACATGTGTCATTACTTGACACGAGGAAGTTAATACTGTTAATTTTGTTTTAAAAGGTACTAGAAATAGCACACGTGCTCATATGTTTCTCTCTGGAGCCCAATTCTTCTGCCTATATACATTTAGCAGAAATGGTCTTTAAGTATTTTGCCTCTTGGATGAATGCCTCTTCCGTTTCCAGAAACTGCTCCATGCCTTACCTCTCTCTCCGCCATCAACCCAGCTTCTGAAAATGAACTCCCCATGTCCCAGGGCCCTTAATCCCCTGAGCAGGGTCCATAACTTCCCATCGCTCCCCCTGCAATACCAAAGGGTGCTCGTGCCTGAACCTGAAAAAAAGTCTTCAATCACATGTGGATTATTTCTAAACGAAGACCCATAATTCTATGTGGCTTCTGTGGACTGTAAAGAACTGAAGGGAGAGCAAAATGTTGAGGAGCTGGAAGAAGGATACCTTTACCCTGACTTGTATGAAACTGTGGATGAGCTGGGGTGACAGTCCTCATGCTTAACGAAGGCTGCCCAGGGTGGCAACAGTCCTAGTCCCAGCTGCTGACCTGATTGGCACCCCATGTTGTAAGGGTGGGCAAGGCAGGTTGTGGTGAAGATGGGGGAGTGAATGAGAACATATATAGAGGGTGGGGCAAAAGTAGGTTCATAGTTGTTTGTATAGAAAATAATACCATAATTAACAAATAACAATAATAAAAATCTGTGTTTCCCGTACTCACAACTGTAAGCCTACTTTCCCCCACCCTGTATTCAAGCGCTGTGCAGACATTACAGCACCTTTAACTCAGGAGCCGATCTCATGTTAATGTAAGTAAGGTGACTCACCATCATGTCTAACAACAAACAAATCAACAAAATGTGTCAAGGAAGCAAAGACTTAATGTAAAAA